AGTAACTAGTTTGAGTTACACAAAGTATTCAATAGCTACAGTCGCTCTAGTTACCTATTATCTTTAAAGAAGTAGATGCAGGATAACAAATTAGTGGTGACTGTGAGATACAGACTCTATCTGTAAAATTTTGTAAATAAATGTCCAATTTGTAGAATGATTAGTACTAAGTGAAGTCGATCAGTTTTGATCCAATCAAGCTGAAATTTTAAGAGTATATCCATTGAGATAATTCGCAACTTTTGTTCTAAGCTTATCATAAGACGAAAACCTCTTTGGGACTCGTAAAATGTGTTGATGGCATTTTTCTTCTCTAAAAATTTGCAAAGCAAGAAATGATTAGTACTAAGTAAAGTCGATCAATTTTCAACCAATCAAGCTGAAATTTTAAGAGTATATTCGTTGAAATATTCTGCAAATTTTGTACTAAGCTTATCATAAAACAAAATCATCATTGGAGATCGTAAATTGCAGTGATGACATTTTTTTCTCTCAAATCTCAAAATTTGATCAAAAAACTCTTTTTCATCATTCTATATATTATTTCTATTTTATACCCAATATCTCATTTCTTTTAAGTTACCACATATATATATAATATTTATAATGGTTAATAGTAAACAGAAACTAGATATTTACTATAACTCTTGGACTGATTTAGATTTTGATTAAATTGATCAAAAACTTATATCTGATGTTTTACCTATAGAAGAAAATCTACCAACTAAACAAAAAGCACTACAATCTATATTTACACCACCTAACAATACTGAGAATATAGATAATAGCCAAGACCTATGAGAAATAGTTGAAGAAACTGTAATTGTCTCTGGTCAAGCTCCAGGATATAATTTTGATAATAAACTATCTAACAAATGGAATCTTGATTCTTCAGATGAAGAAAGCCTCTATCCAATTCCTAAAAGAAACAAAGAACCTTCTACCTATCATATCAAGGATCTAATTGATATTAGATTGAATCAAATCTAACATTTATTAAAACTTAGAATTAATTATTCTAAATTAAAAAAAGGTTTGTTTATATTAGGTGATATGCAACATTTTTTATATTCTAATCTACCTCTTCCTCTTTAAAACTTAAATAGAGATTTTTATAAACTCTATGAGGCCAAAACTAAGAAAACTCAAGATAGGCTTCTTAAACAAGTTCAAAGAAAAGTCAAACTATGCCAATATATGAAAATTAAAGAATTTGTATTGACAGAAAAGTGTCTTTGTTAAAGAAATCTAATTGTTTTAGTTTTTATTTTTTTTATATTATATATTATTATTATTTATTATTTTATCTTTTTTTTTTTTTTAAAAAAAAAAAAAAACATTTTATATATTAACTTAGTCTTTTTTTTTTAGTTTAGTATTTTTAG